CTCTCCACGTCGCGAAGGTGTTTTCGGAATCGGTCACTTAGTCTTCTGCCTGTTTCGCCGATGTAAATCTTTTTGCAATAAGTGCAAGTTATGCAATAGATTGGACAAATTGGCAACTAGTAGCCAAAACGGGAAATTGGCCACTAGTGGCCAAAATAGCAAATTGGCCACTAGTTGCCAAAATGGCCAAACGGCCACCACTGTAATGGCCAAAATGGCCAAACGACCACAAGTGGTTGAAGTGGGAAAACGGCCACTAATGGATAAAATGGCAAATTGATCGACCACTAGTGGCTTTCTTTCTAAATCGGCCACTCTGCCAAGTGGGCAAAACGGGCCAAAATGGCAAATCTGCCACTAGGGGCCTACATAGCAAACCGCCCAGTGGTGGCCAAAATGGCAAATCGGCCATTAGGGGCCAAACTTTCAAATTGGCCACTAGAGGCCAAAAGGGCAAATCGTTCAGTAGCGGCCAAAATAGCAAAACGGACAGTAGTGGCCAAAATGGCAAATCGGCTACTTGTGGCCAAAATAGCGAATCGGTCACTAGTAGCCAAAATGGAAAAACGGCCACCAGTGGCCTAAATGGGAAATCGACCAGTAGTGGTGATTTTGCCTAATCGGCCCTAGTGGCTAAAAGAGAAAATCAGCCACTAGTGGCCAAAATGGCAAAACGGCGGCTAGTGGCCAAAATGGTAAATCGGCCACTAGTGGCCAAACTGAGATATTGGCCAATTAGGGCCACTTGTGGCCAGAATCACATTTTTGGCCATCTAGTGGCTAAATGACAAAACGGCCAGTAGTGGCCAAAATTTTCAAACGGTCTCCTGTGTCCAAAATCTGCAATGGAAAACTAGACTAAGTGTCAAAAATCCCAAATCGGCCAGCTGTGGCCAAAATTGCAAATACGCCAGTGCTGGTCAAAGTTCCAAGATCTATTGTAGGCCATTAGCGTTCAAATCAAAAAATCTGCTAGTAGTGTTAAAAATAAAAAATTGACAACTAGAGTCAAAAATCCAAAATAGGACATTAGTGTGCTAAACCTGTAATCGGAAATTCAAAGTAATTCAAAGTCTGTACAAAATCAGAGTGCTTTTTATTTGATCTTGAATATAAGGTAGAAATTAACCAGCTTGAAGTTTTGCTTGGATCAAAGCAACCCTTTCATGATAAGCTGGTGTAGATCAATTTATTTAAAATATGCAAACTCTTAAAACATACATCGTTTATAATAAGTTAATTATCCAAACAAAAGGTGTGTGCCGAACCCGTCGTCTCATTAACAATTATTTTGCATAGACGCCAGACACTTTGTTTCCCAAAGCATAAGGCCCTTATGTTTTCGTTTAAAGCATAAAATCCCTCTGGACAAATGAAATAAAGTAGACTGCAGTAGCGTAGACGATTTAATGTTTTCAACATTGCAAGTAGTACCGCGGAAACATATCAGCGCTTTTACGTAAGAGTAATTATTTGTTCAGGTCGCTATAACAACTATTGAAAACAAACCTGATAAGAGACCTCTTAAAAGACGGATTTTAGATTCAAACTGCTGGAGAGAATTTAAATAGCTTAGAGTATTTTGATTCGCTTATCAAAACAAATAATAGAGAACAATTTTTCAGCGCTGTATATCAGTGTGTATATCTGATCATTTGTCAAGGATTATCGAAGTTTGCAACGAATAACAAACAGCAAAAATGAGCTCAGATGTTGTTAAAGCGGACGTGGAAACTCCAAAAGATACGAAGGCGGATAAAGCTGCTAAGAACTTAAAGCCAACGAAAGGTAAAGAACTAACACCCGGCGCAGCAAGTACCAGTAAAACTCGGCCTTCAAGCACCGTCTCCGTTACTCAATCGATGGCTACGTCGTTTTCAAGACAAGACGGGCGACGCGTGCCCGAAATTGCCACGGAGAACACATTTAAAATGGCACCCGATCGTAAATTTCCCGAGGGCGACGTCCGGTCGATACTCAAGGAAATTTTAACGGAGAGGCTGGCGGAAGCAAAGTATGATGCGGATCAGTGCAGGCAACTTTCCAAGACAATTTCTGACACGGTGAAAAACCGAGTGAAAGATCTAGATATACAGCGTTACAAGATTATTTGTCTTGTACATATTGGACAGCTGGGAAATCAAGCTCTGCGTATTGGAAGTAGGTGTCTTTGGGATACAAACTACGACACTTTTGCTTCATTTGAATTCGAAAACGGGTCGCTCTTTGCAACTGCTACGGTCTATGGTGTTTATTTTGAATAATGCATTTTTAAGACACACAAGGAAATAATCATAGACCATTTTCTGTTCATAAACCACGTTCGTTAATTATAGAGCATGTTTCAATGACCACCAAGAGTGGCGTAAAAATTAGATTTAATAGCGTTTTTAAAACATCTATGTATGTTTGGACCGATTGTGTCATTAAATATTTAATATATTTAACTCCTACACGGTTTATTTGATTACCAACTAACGCTCTAATGAATTCTTTTAATTCTAATAAGTTTATTTGGCTAACAAGTACTCGTGAATAAATTAAAGTTACCTGAGCGAGACCTTAGCTTCCATTGAGGCTGATGCTCAAACTCGTTTAATTTTGATACTACAATGATCATTGAGAAAAGTAAAGCAGTAAGCACTGATTCTTAGATTAGTTATGGGAGACAAAATTTACGCGTGGCTTTGGGACCGTGAACAAAACCCTCGCTGCGCAAGCGGGTTGAATACAAGCCTTTTGACCTTTCGCTTAAGATTAAATATTTGTCCATGTTTTCGTTGCTGCTTGTTAATACTTCTGGTAAGCAAAGTGTAAATTTATCCGAAATCTCTCTGACTGTCATAAAACTGGTATTGTGGGGCACAAAAAAGTAAGTTTTAATGAAGTTGATACAAAATTTTTAGTCAAATAATTTCATTTGACCTGCGGATGAAAATCAAGCAAAAAAAAAGGATCCTTGCAGATAAGTTGCAATTTAAGCAACTGCTGCATGGAAAAAAAAAATCAAGCTTCGACAGGATTCGAATCCGTGCCTTCCTATTGGCAATAAGATTCGTTTTGTTTGTCGTTTAAGTTCGGAGAATATTGGCAAACCAAATTTTTCGTAATTATGAATAGGACCTCAACGGTCGTTTAATTCGTTCAAAGTTAACTTTTTATGGGAGGAGATTTAGGGCCCCAGAGAAAGGGATCTAGGTTTCAATGTGGATGGAAACGTAAAAGCGCAATACTTAAATGTTACCAACTTCGATTAAATCCATGAATCAAAGATCGAATGCAACAGAGGTTCAGGAGCCGATTACCTGGAGCTTCCATCTTCCAGACTGACCCTCTGAGCCAACCCTGTCCCGTATCTTTCTATTTTTAGAAGCACCTCCCACGTCGGTTTTCGCGGGTGTTTTTATAATAGCCAATCATGAGAGAGCTGTCGTCTCTATTGTGTCACTTGCAAGCCGCACGAAGTTATTTCAATAATGGCGGAGAGCGCGGAAAGATGAAAGAACCTCCGCAGATATCTCAATTCTAAAAATAAAAAGATACGGCACAGGGTTGACTCAAGGATACAACTGAGATGGAAGCTCCGGATAATGGACTCCTGGAGGTTCAAATCTGCCCTTGCTGCGAACAAGCCCCCATTATCAGTGCCTGTGCGCGAGTGATTTTTCGCGCGCAAGAAAGTATAAGGCCTTGAGCACATGAGCCCGCGAGAGGTTCACAGGCATCAAGTATTATTAGTGCCAGACTCCTCGCAAACCCTTCCTGACTCGTCTCCAATCTTCCCACGACTGGAAAAACACGCTAAAAAGGAGGGCCTGGTCACAGGCTGAATCCGCCCGCCCTTGGGTATCGCATCGAGCCTCCCGTTTTCGCTCAACATTCTTTCAATTTTTTGAAACTTTCTCCGGAAAAGGACTCTAATGTTCCCCTTGCTTCTTTAGTCTTTTTAGTACGGTCCTTTCTCGTTTTTCTGTTGTGAATCAGGTTTTTTCGAGAATTGTAGCAGTTGTTGGGCGTGGTTACACACTTAATCGCCTCGACCTGGAGCGAGTTTTGAAATCGTTCTTGGTGTTGCATGGTATGGCATCTTGGAGGTTTCTATTTTAAAAAAAGTTTTAGCGGGTAGCATGTTTCCAGACCCCCTCGAGACTCGCAACCTAAGTGCATGTGGTCGCGGCTTTCTGCTAAGGAACCTCCGTTATCTTATTTCAAAACGTATTCTCTAAACACCGATTTTATAACAAAGTTGTCTTGGGCGAAAGGACATGAAAAGGAATATTTTGAAACGCTCTCCTTATAATAAAGCGATTTATTTTATTACCTTTAACGCATCCTTGCTTTGAAGCAAGAATTGGAAAACGTATCGACTGCCCTAGGTCCCAGATCCCTCCATACCTCCGGTATTTTCGCTGCACTCCAAACTTAAATTGTTTCATTATAAAAAAGGACGTCATGGAAGTACACACCAAATGGAGGGGAAAATAATTTTTTCATTGTTATGGAGTTATGTCACACGGCGCCTTCTACTACAAGAGAGCATCTTTGAGAAGAAGTTACATGGGGTTTCACACGCCTTGAAAACCTAGTCTATATATTTCGAGGGAATTATTGGGGGCAAATTTCGAATGAATGTCGCAAATGAAAACCAAAGTAATCACGACGACCAATCAGATGAAAGGAAACTGTCACAGGAGTCAATGACAGCTCAAAGTAAAAGCAGGCAAACAGTCTCAAGCGCGGGAAATTTTCCCGCGCTCATGACTGTGTGTAACGAAAACACGTGTAACTAAGTTACAATTTGTGTCAGTTTTGAATCTGGTTGGTTGATAGTTTTTGACGCGAGTTGTTCTGAACCAATCACAATGCGATGGAAAGAAACATGGAATAAAATGAAATCCTGGTTCACTTTTAACATTCAGTCGTTAAGACACTGAAGGGGAAAGGTACTAAACTTTGCCATAGGTTTTGTTTCGTCGACGAATATTGTCAGTATCTCTCTTGTTCTTTTACTTGTTTCAATGCTTCTTCGTAGGATACAACTTTCGGTCGATTCTTTCTTATAAACTGCGGAGAGAATAATATCTCAATATGAGACATATGTGTCGCGATACGCCCGTGGGTGGGTGGATGGGTGTTTTAAGTGTGCTATGTGGCGACATTTTTGCTTTGGGGCGTAACTTGTGGTAACTTAATGCGTTCACGATACGCGCAAGAGCGTGAGTGTCTGTCACAGGTTAGTATATATGGTGTAAGGAGAAATGCGCGTTTTATACAGAAACACTCGCAAGGTTGCATGGGGGGTTGAATTGGGCTCATCTTCCGCGTTATCTCCAGTGCATTAGGGAGATTTAGCATTGCGTTTACGTGAAACGTGAACGGCAAGAGTGACTACGTGATCTTGTTTTTCCCGCCATTTTTTCACGTTTGCCGGTTGCGCTTTGCCGTTTCTACGTGGAAGTAACCTGTTTCGCTTTTGCCGTGTACGTAAGCCAAGATTTTCTTCACTTGTTTTCTCACAGAATAGATTTTAGCTGCGAGAAAAGGGGCACCAAAACTATTCTTTTTAAGTCATACAAGGGCGCCTTGAAATCCACCGTAACGTGAGCTTACGCGAGATTAAAGCAACAAGGTTCCCACTATTCAACGAGAACCGTGAAAGGGCAAGCTGACGTTTGCCGTTTCACGCAAACGCGGTGCTAAATCTCACAAGTTGCGTGCGTGGGTGCGCGAATCTTAAGAGTCATAATGCGCGCAAAAGTGCATGAGTGAGCTTGCGTATCCATCTAACCTGTTGCGTGTCCTCGAGCGTGGTGTATTGGTAGTCACTGTTGACCCTGGTAGAATAAGACTCATACATTCTCTGATTTATCTCCACAAACTGTTCCACCAGACGGATTTGCTCTCGCAACATATTATTTAACGCCACAATGGCCGGGTTGTACGCAGTCATGGCTAAAAGTGATGAGAGGAACATAAATGTAGATGATTTTAGCAGAGTATCTTCTACAGATACATCTTATGAAGTAAAAATTAAAAGTAATTATTGGTAAAAAGTGTTATGGGTGTTCAGATGGTGGAATCCAGAATCCAGATGACTGAGTTTGGGAATTCGGCTGAGTCATTGTTTTGTGTTCTTAAGTAAAGACACGTGACTCTCAGAGCACTTTCCTTCATCCAGGAATATAAATAGCTACTGATCAATGGTTGGAGAAACTTGATAAAATGCAGAGGCTTACAAGAAATGGAGCACTACTACATTCAGGCAGGAGAGAGAAATACTCATAATCATTTTATGAAAACAAGTTTGATAGGCCTCCATAAGAAGCAGCCTGACTGGACTGGTGAGACTGACCCAGTCCCTCCTCCCCATCTGCTGGTTACTAGAATTGGTTCTAGAGCAAAAAAACCTTACACAACACTTCCTTCTGTCCATCCATACATAGTACAAGGGATGATCAGTCCTGACATAGCTGCCAAGAGTTTGACCATAGCAGAGAATTTTATAAGTGGTTAAATTAGGGTTAGTTTTAATTCTGCTTAACCAAGTAAACCTAAATTCTCTGTTGAGCCGTTTTAAAGGCGTTTTAGGGCTGTTCGCTGTTAAAACAATGACATGAACAAAAAAAAATCTGCTCTAAATCATACCTTCCATGGCCTCTGGTGACACTGTGTGAGTTGCTATTGGTGTGGGGTCAACATATTGCATTCCAAGTCGTGGGCCACTCGTTGCCATGCCAACACCTAGAGCTGATGAAAATGAGCAGTTGGTTAATGCTGGTCAGCTGATAATCAGTCAGCCTATCAGTCTAAAAGTTAGAGAGTCGATCATCAGTTGCTCACTGATGAATCATTCAGTCACTTGAACAGTCAGCCAGTCAGTTGGTCAGTCTATCAGTCAGTTAGTATATCATTTATTACATGTACATCTGTGAGTAATTTAATCAGTTACCCAGTCAGTCAGTCAGTCAGTCAGACCATTAGCTGGACAGTCACCCACACAGTCAGACATTTGGTTGGTCAGTCAGTCATTAACTCAGTTCGTCATCAGTAAAATATTCAGACAGACATCAATGAATCATTCAAAAAAGTCAACAGTCAGTCAGTAAATCAGTAAATATATCTTATTAACCAAGCGCGAGGGCTGTACTGGGAGAATATTGGCCCGAGGTCTTGACGGTATGGACCAAGCGCAGCAAGGTCCGTACAA